ATTACACTAAACAGCCACCTCGCCGTTGCACTTAACAGTCACCTCGCCGTTGCACTTAACAGTCACCTCGCCGTTACACTTAACAGCCACCTCACCGTTATACTTAACAGCCACCTCGCCGTTGCACTTAACAGACACTTTACCTTTACACTTTAAGTAGACTCCTTACTTAACAACATTTTAATGGCCTCCTCGCCTCTATGGCGCCATAGCATAAATTTTACAACCACCACGCTACTTAAGTCTTACAAACAACTCATTGAGCCACCACGCTATACATTTAAATACTTCAAACACCCATATACAGTCTTTCTATTAACGAATAATCAGCCCCGGAATCAAAGCAAAATGAAAACTGCTCACCTAATTATGTGATCACCCCAGTGACGGGTTTCACTCCGCATAAGTCCACTTGTTTCATAATGCTGGATCTAGCAGCAGGCTGTAATCTGCTGTTTGTAGCTGTCCAGGTTTTCGTGCATCGTGATGCGATGTGACCCTCTACACCACATTTGTAGCAGCTCACCGAGGGCCTCGTCGTAGCCGCAGCCTTATTGTTGTGGTCAGAAGTCGAAGTTGATTGATGCTTGTCACGCGAAGGGACTGTATATCACGATCCGTTGCATGCTGTTTTGTTGCACTTCAAACAGAGCTTGCAAAACGTCGTTGACCCCGGTTGAATCGTGCATATTTTGTGCCTGCACCGATCCCGCTTCTGATGTCGGAGAGCGGCTATTCACTTTGTCATTAGCGTTCACGGGCTTAGTGGGCGTCATTGGGGCTTGATACAGGCACAAAACCAAACAATCACTCAATCACTGTTCGTATAATTTTAATTACGTTCTTTTAACAAAAACAAAATAAAAATGTTTCACACACACTTTACTTTACACTAAGGACACTTAAATAACGTAACAACCGAGCAGTGGGTTCAAGGTACCAATCTGACTTCACTGAACTACCGTATCACTTTTCTAGTAATGAAACGCTACGATCAGTTCCTCGCCTTTAAATACGCTCAAAAACTACCTCCCACCTGTGAAAATCAAGATGGCGCCTCGACCCCACTCGAGGCACGTGCTCTGCTCTGATTGGACGCGACACAAGATGATTTATAACAGACTTTTATTAAATTGTTAAGTTACTGAACAATACAAAAATTGTAATTAATAAAATCAATTTAAATTAAGATTTTATAAAATTATTTAAAGTGTTAACAATAGCCTTTTCGCGATTAACATTCAACAAGAAACTCTACTCGTCACATCCTCCGACATATATAAGGATTATCTCCTGTATTTACTTTCGCACCGCTCTATATTATTATTCCTCTTCCACCATAGGTTGCCTGGAAGAGATTGCTGTTTAGCAATAAGGCCGCCTATTGTACTTTTTCTTCTTCTTTTTTCCTACATGAAAGGTTTATACGTATAATACAGTCTACACCGAAGTGAAGTTGTGTCACTAGTAAAAGTACAGAGAATCGGACATAAGTTCAAGAACTGTATTTATATATACCTACTATATTTGTGTACTGTACAAGCTTTTATTTAACATAAAAAATATAAACAATAAAATTTTGTTTGAAATAGCCATATTATGGTTCTATCACATTTAAAAAATCCATACTCATATTATAAATGCGAAAATTCTATGTATGTCTGTTACGCTTTTAGTAAGTGAATAAATTAGAGCAAATTCTATTGGTTAATAAATTTTTGTTATATTCTTTCATATGTCTTGTTTTATAGTACATAAAGGGAGAACCAAAAACATATTGTCCACTCAGAACTTTGTTACAACAATCCATCCGACTTTCATATTTTGAAAATTGAAAGATATCAAGTTGTTGACTGTTACAGCCTAGCACAGTGACGTGACGGCAACTAAAAATCGATGCATCTTTTTTTCAGCGTCGTGACTGGTAGTTAGATAGCGATTAGGTCAAGGTGACAAATTTGACTTTATTGATCAAACTATTCGAAAAATAGGTTATATTTTGATACTTTCAATATCCCGACGATGATGTTGCCTTATCTGTGATCTCGTTAAGTTTAAAACCCGTTCGGGAAAGAGCAGAAAATCTTATCATGTAGTCGTCCTGCTTCCAATAAGTTTTCTAGTGATTTTTATAACCATTGAAATAATCTACCACACAATTAATTCGCCATATAATAAACCCCATAAATCCGCGGTAAAAACAAGTGCTATACCATTTCAATTTATATTAAAACATAAATAAAAGGCTAAGAAAAAAATGGCTAATTTTTCACACTACATTTCCATGCCACACGTAGGGTGAGTAAAGAAGAACATAGACTGGGTCAGTTGCTAACTTTCCATTGCAGATAGCTTATTAACTATATTATATAAGCTTATTCACAGACAGGGTCAAATGTAAAGTCGATGAGATGTTGCTACTGATTTTTATAAATATTTACCCTAAAGCTGCACTTTTGATGTTCTACCAAACCTAGAAAGGATATCTTTCATGATGAATATATTTATATATTGTACATTATGGATGAATCAAAAGCCCCATTATAGCAGCTTTTTCGGATTCGATACTTGAACCATATTATCGTGAACTTAATGTAAGTTCGACAAGCCCCTGTACCACGTTTACATGTAAGTTTTTTGATTTTAACTTAATATAAATTTTGTAAGTGATATTACATTAAAACGGAGGTTTCTTTTTATTTATTACTAGTGGCCCGCCCTCGCTTTGCTTCGGTGCAGAGCTGTATAGTGTAGACTATAGTTTTTGTTCTCAGGCTTGTATTATACACAGTGACTTTCTTTAAATACCTAATAACTATAGGCACGCACCTCAGCCGCCCCTGCGGCCAGTACCGCCCGACCGGGTATGTCCCTGCATTTTAAATCCGTAATATCTTCGAAAATATTAATTTAAATTATATGCTGTACAGGGCCATATTGATCTATATTAAATGCACAATGTATATAAGGTACGTAATTGGATAAGGATGAATGCTGTATTGCTTACTAAGTGGCTTCGTAAATAAGCTATTATTTCTTGTAAAAGTAAAGGATAAAAAAATGGTTATTGTGGGTTATCCCTAAGAGTTAGACACATACCATCGCGGATTTTTTTGTAGACCTTTTTGAGGTGTACAGTACTGTAGTACATTATTTTGATCTATCTCGTATGGTTCAGCCAGCGTTTGCAATGTAAACGCAAAAAATGTGTTTATTTACGACCTTACATTAAAAACCTCTAAAATTACCAGTGTTTCTCTACTATATTATGCAAGTATTATACATATAAACCTTCCTCTTGAATCACTCTATCAATTAAAAAAATCCGTTGCGTAGTTTTAAAGATCTAAGCATACATAGGGTCAGACAGCGGGAAGCGACTTTGCTTTATACTATGTAGTAATAGTGATTTCTACTCAATAACTACCTTAAGAGTATATTATGTTTATACACTGAACATTCACTTAACTGAAAAATATTATGAAAAAAACAAGATTCTTTGGTTTAGATGTTTGCCGAAGTTTTTGGTAAGCAACAAAGAATAGTTAGAAAATTCTGACAAACATTGAAATTTAAACAAGACAACATCTGGCGGGTGTGATTGTTTTCAGTAATACTTTGTACCGAAATGTTTTATTTATTTTATTAGATACATGACCGATGTACAAAAACGCAAATCCTACATTTTATCGCGTTTACGTTACATTTAATTTTTCAGTATCTCACAGGAACCTAAAAATTTTCCAGGACAAAAAGTATCCCATGTACTTACCCGGGATTCAAACTATAAATAAATAAATATAAATAAATATTTCCAACACTCACACCAATTAGCCTAGCCCCAAAGTAAGCACTGTAAGGCTTGTGTTATGGGATACTAGGGCAACCGATAGAATACATATACAGTACATATATAAGTATATTTATATAGAAATACATATTAAACATCCATGACTGGAGTACAAATGCTCGTATTCATCACACAAACATCTGCCCCCACCGGGATTCGAACTCGGGACCTCTCGAGTTGGCGACACCATGAAACCCGGCGTACAAACCACTCGACCACGGAGGTCGTCTGTACTACAAACTATATCTGTACCAAATTTCGTCTCAATCTATTCAGCGGTTTAAGCGTGAAGAGGTAATAGACAGACAGACACACTCTCGCATAATATTAATATGAATGTTACTCAGGGATAATGCAGTATTAAATGGTGAAATAATTTCTTTTGGTTTTTTGGTCCTTGGTAATTGGTCCAGTAGTTTTTGACTTTATTCATCACAAATATATAAATCTTTCTTCTTTATAATATTAGTATAGATAATATGCAGAGTGCATATTTTAAATCAATATTGAGAGCCATAATTCTGGTGTCCTACTAAAATGTATTCATTCCGAATTACGGACAGCTCGACAAATACCTCATCAATATTGATATAATAAAATTTCAAGGTGAACCATAGTCTTAGCACGGTACGATTATCGAGATATATTATATCGGCTATAGCTAGGTACTGCACTGTCGTACGGAATTTAACAGTAACTTCCAATCTATGTCTGTGGTAATTTTACAAGCTTGTTTCAATTTGTATATTATTATTATCTTACATAAATATATATAAAAACATTTTATTGATTAATTTGTTAAAATTTATCGACAAAAATTTTCATGATTCAAAGCTTCTCTTTGATCAACATATAAATAGCATCGTAAAAAAAGCTATCCCTACTTCATAATATTAGCCTAAACAAGATACATACTGGACAGCAGGATGCTAAATCACCACAAAATTACAAAGTAATTTTTTACTCAAAAACTATGTAATGTTAAAGTCATTCATTTATTTATTTCTCTTAGCTCTCTCTGAAAAAACTAATAATTGAAGAGAAAATAGATGAATCTTAAATAGCATTGAAGAATATTTCTATTATGTGGATGTAAAATGATAACTTATATTACAAGTTAATATATTAGAATGAAAATCAAATTACTTACAGCTTTAGCCATGTTGAAAACAGCAAGTATGTGATTCTCATTTGATAGGAAAGCGTTTGTGTCCACAGTTATGTAGTTATGCAGCACCGGCATCATATCAGGGAAATAGTCAAAGCCTTCCTTCTCGAAAATCTGATACAAAAGCTCCAGGACCTTCCACATGTCTTCTGATATTGACTTCGAGGTCAAATTACACAGGAGCGTCATCGCTTCTTCGTAATACTCTGGAATTTTTTAAAACATTATAATAATGTGTATTAAAAAGTTTACTTCTGGTATAATAGTGTTAGAAAATACATACCGATGATATTGTGATGTAGAATGTGTCCAACAACACGCAAGACTGCCTGCTCCAGTTGCGCCATAATTTCAGGGTTGTCCTCCATTACATTCAGAACTGTCTCCATAGTGTTCAAGAGACCCATAGCGGTAATCGCTTTCTCGTCAGTGCCCGAATCTGTCTCAATTACTTTACTGAATGTAGTCGCCAAATGATCAATAATCTCAAAAGCCATCGGCATCAATTGCTCCGTGTACAGTGGAACAATTTTTTGGAGCACATTGGCTATATTGTCGTTTTCCGTTTCACGGATCACCTTGAGGAGCTCAGACGTGACCTGTTTCACTTGTGGCTCAAGGTATTCGTAAACCTTTTCTTGTGATGTCAACAGCATCTGGAGGGCAATAGCAGCTTCCACTTTGACAGGAAGGTCATTGTCGTTGAGCAGAGCATTCACTGTCAAACGAACAGCTTCCAGAAGAAGAGGTTCGCTCTTGAATTGTACAGACGCGAAGCAATGGAGCACCCAGCAAGCTCTCGCCCTCATGTAGCCCAGAGGACTCTGGAATTCTGGGAACACATACTGACTCAAAAGCGAGTCAATCTCATCTTTGTAGCATTTCTTCTTCATAACAATTTCATTGAGAGTGCCGACCATGTGCAGGGCACCATCGCGCTGTCGAGGTCCGTACTCCCCAGTCTGGTTACTCAACACTTGCATGCAAAGATGCATAGTGCGTTCCATCATGTCTCTTCGCTTCTTACAGCAGGATATGAGAAGTGTTTGGGCCGCCGTAACGGGCGATACAAAGTCTTCAAAAATATCTGCAACAAATTTGAACTTTGATGTCAGAAGTATAACTTTCTTGATTAACAGCAGTGAATAAGAACGACTTTCTATAAAATAACTATTAAAAAATAAACCTACCTCGTAAAACTATTGTGACTGTTAAATTCGTTAGTAGAAAAATAATAACTATAGCAACTAAGTAAGTCTGCACCTTTACTTCTGTGCGCATTACAAATAATTTTAGAAAACCAACAACCTTTATATTCTACTAGTAAACATTAAAATAAATTCAGCTTGTCAGATGCAGCTTTATAAAAGGTTCAGCCAGCCTATTCCCTAACTTTTTTGACAGTGTTCAACTGAATAGAAAATTGCATATCCATCAAGCTTTTCAGAACAAATATCTTAGCGGCATCATAATAAAGCAGTAGTGGATCATTAAATAGCTTGGTAATTATCACTTCCATCTGTCAAAAGCAGTTAGCGATTAGGCCTACAGATCAAAATAGCACATCATTCAGAACGGCAATTGTTTTTACAGTGCATAAATGCAACAATATCAGTGAATTTTACAATACACAATGTTGCAGCAACATGATGGTAATACTCACCAAACTTTATGCGAATGAATTCATGAGGGTCGGTGTTATACAATTCCTCATCTGCTTCAGAGTATGACATCAGAGGAAACAGTACATCTTGGATGATGGCAAACATATGAGGCTTTAATAACTTCCAAGAGTGTGCGTGACTTACACTAAAAGAGAAAACAAACAAAGGAGATAAACAAAAAAATAAAAAAAGAAAAAAGCTGGATAAAATAATTGTAAAGGCCCATTGAAACCCTGCCAGTGTCATGTGTACATAATATTCATTACTTTACATGGCATTTTAATATTTTTATTCTTTTATGATCTGGGACATGATTTCAAATCAAGGAATTTTAAATTACCTGAAAGACAAAAACTACTACCATAAAGTAATAACTTACCACTGGTCAATGTAGGTGAGTGTTAGTTGCAGAACTCGTGGCGACACATATACTTTCAGTCTGTATTGATCAAGTATTCTGAGTAGTACCTCCAGGATACCACGTGTGAATGTAGTAAGGTACCATTCAGCAAATTGCACATATTCATCACGAGTGTTCACAGGACTTCCAAATCTAAATTGGTAAAACAAAAAAGCTATTGAATTTACAATCTATACATATAATATCTAATATTAGCAGTAAATTATAGTATGGATTTTAACATAATCTGGCTTAGATTCTTGTGAATGGAGCAGAAGTTCGAATTTAGCTATGAGGAATGGAGCAACTAAATAAAAGGATAATAATATATAAAAAATGTGGACCAAGTATGCCAAAAGTGCCATTGTATGTATAATTGCAGCACCAACCAACCAACATGCATGGTTGGTTGGTGCTGCAATTATACATAATGTGCATAAATATAAATATGTAGGAATATGTCCAACAAAGAAAAAAACCACAAAATCTAAGAATCTCTTATCTATTAGACAAGTCCGTCTGTCTGTGGTGCTGTTTCAGCAGCCAAACCGTAAGAGATAGATAAAGAGAATATTTAAGTTATAAGTTAAGTATAGTCTGATAAGACTACAAACCGGATTTGAGTAACGTAGCACTTCCGGATTTCGAAAAATCAGGTTTTGGTGAACATTTGGTTCACTGGTTTGCTAGTCTCTTATCTATTAGACAAGTCCGTCTGTCTGTGGTGCTGTTTCAGCGGCCAAACCATAAGAGATAGATAAAGAGAATATTTAAGTTATAAGTTAAGAATAGTCTGATAAGACTACAAACCGGATTTGAGTAACGTAGCACTTCCGGTTTTCGAGAAATCAGGTTTTGGTAAACATTTGGTTCACTGGTTTGCTAGTGATGTTCTAATTCAGGAATATAAAAGAATAACCAACAGTAGTTATTTTTTTAATAATATTGATAGTATAAAGTATGTGTAGTTACAGGCAACATAACACATACATAATAATCATATACAAATTACAAATCTAAGACTAAAGAGAGAAAGATTATTATTGTGTTATGCCAAAAATTTACATTTCAATCTTGCATTTTGAAAATTATATATCTTATCTTATAAATGAAATTGAAATTTATTTTTACATTTCCAATATATAATTGTTTATATAAGCAAAACACAATAAAACACACAGACAACAGAGCTTGTAAAGGATCCATCAGACATCAAGAAAAAGAAAAATGTCATAAAATTGAACTTAAACCTATTCAAAATGTGTATTTTTATGACAATTCACAAACCTTTCAAAAACTCTGAACAGAGTATGTGCAGCCCACTTCTTGCATTTCCACCACGGAAGCTCCATACGCTCATCTTCATCCACTTGTAAAGTGTGATCAGGTACAGGTCGCTCCAAAACTAATCTCAAAACCTCCATCCATTTGGTAAATACCTCCTTTGTTATCAAGTCTAGTGGTAAAATGTACTGCAAACATAAAAATGTTCTACTTATCTTGATTGCTATACATAATAACTCACTATTTATTTAAATATAAATTGTATCTCCATAGGATATCAATAACTATTATTATTATTAATTCTCACCTTAATTAAACTATAAAAGCATTTGAGTATTTGCTTCTGGATAAGGACAGATTCAGCTGAATGGTCAGCCTGGAGATTCACAATCAAATTGTACATCATCGGTAATAATAAATTCATAGCCTCTATTAATGGTACTCTCTTATCAGCCAATTGGTATTCATAATTCTTGATAAGCTGGTAAAGACACAACAATGCCCCCATCCATATATTGGGCTCAGGATTTTGCAAGTATATGTGAATTTTGTCGACAATCTGAGTCCAGCGTGTAGGGAAATCATGTTTGATAATAGTTTTTAAACAAACACACAACTGAACTCTGATTATATCTGGTGCCTGTACAATAGCATCGACAATAATATCTCTAATCATTGCACGGTCCTGTTCATGGATGCTGAAAGGTATTGGCTCTCCTTCCTCAGGCTCCTTATCCTGCCATCCAGATGTGATTAAGTTCTTGAGGTATACTACACCAGCTTGACGAACAGGTATTTGGACTTCATTGAGCATAACAACTTGTAGCAGCGATGGTGCAAATCCAATTATTTTGTGTATCTGAAACATTGTTTTTGTGAGAGACCTAATTAAACTTCAGAAAGCAATCTAGCATAGAATTCTACATCCTTGTGATAAAGAATCATGACATATTTACGCTAAGTATGAAAAAGATTACAAAAGTTCATTGTATACTTTGAGTGGCCTACACTTTTTCCAGTGTAATGTGTATACTAACAAGTGACTGCAGTATTCTAGAGTGATTCCTAAGTATTAAATGTGTTATCTTATTACATCAGAGGTGAGTTAAGTTAGGACTTCATACAAGTGGTATGTCCGGTAAATAAGTTAATTTGTAGGTTAGGTATGTGGATAAAAATAGAATTTCCAGTGCGCTGTCTAGAGCAATACTGGGATGACAACAAAGGTCTCGCATGTAATGAGAAATCATGCAGATTGCTATCATTACAGCAGGGCAATAAATAACACGACTAATTACAGCGGCAGTGAACACAAAGGAATTTCGTACACATCATTGTGACATGTAATTTGGGTGCTTTATAAAATTCCGGAACATGTGGTCGACTCAAGTTTTACCTGTGACAGTTGTTCTTCAGCTTGCTGCCTTTGATTGGGATCGATGGTGGCACGCAAAATTTCTGTTAGTTTCCTGGAGTCCATTTTTATGGAAATAACATCAAAATTTTATAGCGAATACTTCAATTGGGGGCATGAGCCGTCGCCGGGCGTGGATGTAAAAAAGGAAAAAATTGTCTATGGCAATTGGCAATGCCACAGGCATCTATTACAATTTTTTCTTTGTTAATACTCTACAATTTTTATTCAAAGGATATTTAGATCTATAAAGCTTATGTAAATCTTAAATATTATTCTGATCTCATGAATGGAATGAGGCCTTCGATCAAGAATTCTATAGATAATGGGTTGCTTACAAAATCAAAGCTAAAAACTGTCCGCGTTTGAATATACATAAGCAGCTACATTCGATTCCCAATGAACAAAGACAAATGTTTTACAACAGTTTGTGAAACCTAATACAAACCATGTAAGAAAACAATAAAGTTACGAATAACAAAATATTATTTCGTTTAAACGAACCCTTATCTTATAAAACGAACAAGACAATAAATTATATCTGAATCTCGGAAAAAAACGATAAAGGTGAAAAAAGGAAAATGTGAAATCAACCTTGGTGGTTTTCCAATTACAGCCCTAGAGCGCCTCAGACCAAATAAAAACTATAGACGGAGTCTGCCGAACAAAAAAGTGAAGCCGATAAAACTACGCCTCGCCGTGTACATACACAGTTACACGCACACACATGCAACGAAACTACGCCTTGGCTTCCCAGTCGAGCTATCCCGGCGCGCGGAGTGTGATGTAATAATAAAAAACAATATTTATTAGAGAAAATGCCGAATTGTGTAGTGAAAACGTATAGAAACCAATTTTCCAAGAATAAAAAACAGGATGGAATCACATTTCATATGTAAGTAAAGTTATAAACTAATATTTTCAATTAATCAAAATGAAATTTGAGGTTGTCGCTTTGTAAACAAAACCTGAATGAAATGCTGCCATGATTATACGTTACAGTTTTACCCTTTTGTTGGGTAGCGTGAAATATAACGTAACGTTATTTTATTAAATACATTGTGTAGAATACTTTTATATTATTCGAATATTGTAATGCATGGATAAACAATGACACGAAACATCTTTATTATCTTTTTTCTTTATGTATTCGTCTAAGTTTTTGGGATGTAATACACATTATATATTATACGTTTTTTTTACGATTTCCTAATCGAGATCAAAATCTAAAAGAGAAGTGGATTGCAGTCATTCGTAAGAGTAGAAATGAACCATTGTGGCAACCAGCTTCCCGTAGCGTGGTTTGTTCGTCTCATTTTCAGAGCGACGATTTGTACTACACAACAAAAGGGTTACGTCGTGTAAAATAAAATGCATATCCAAGGGTATTTTTTTACTGAACTTAATATAGTTACTTGGGTTAATTTATATTTTAAAGATTCCAATAATTCTTCAGTCGTGCAGACGGTTGAAACACAAAATTACACCAATTTTATTTCACAATATTCACTATGAACGAATTAAAGAATAATTAAAATATGACGCTAACCTCACTCCATGAAATCACGCCAAAAACTCCAAAGGTTAAGCTTTGTTTTTATTATATATTTTTAACTAAACTTTTATTAGTGTAACAGTTATTAAACTTATAAATCACAGGAACCCCAGATCTCCAATCGCAGGATCTTTGGCTCACGAGAGGTTGGATCTAGGGCTAGTGTAAAACTAATCTGGACTAGGTTAGAGAATAAGAGTTATAACGTTATTAATAACGTTATGAAATAACGTTATTATTTTTTCTAATATTGGGGTATTATAAATGACTATGGTAACACTGGCTAATGCACTACATACATAAAAAACCGGCTTCACTTTTTTGTTCGGCAGATAGGGATGTCGAAAGTTGAATAAAATATCGATATGTCGATACATCGATATTTTAAAAAAATATCAATATCGGCTTCGATATATCGCGAAAAAAACATCGATATATCGATATATCGGACCAATTTTCCCAAAAATATATGTAGCACAGCCAGCCTAGCACAGTAATAATAACAATACAAATTAAAATTAAAGAAAGAATTAGTACCTAATTGCCGCTACACTACATGACCATACAGAATCTCACGAAAGACGACACGCAGAATAATAATGGAACGAAAATTATCTCCCTAAAAGTAGACCCTGTTTTCGAATGATGAAAATGATTGCAGGGCCTTTCAGGTGCCATCTTTCGTAAACAAGACTGGACAGTCACACACTTCCACAGAATATAATGGAATTCACCAGCAAAACAGATTTACAAATCATAGACAATACTAAATACACAGATCATAGATATGTTAAATATCATTTATCTGAGATCCAGTTACGATTTTTCCAGATACGAATTTAGTTAGATCGTGATATGCCGCTAATAATTAAAAAAATATCGTTTTTGATACAAATTTCGATATTGGTTTTTTGTATCGATGTATCGATATATCGAATCAAAATATATCGGTTCAAAATATCGATATATTGAACAAAAAATATCGATATATCGATACATCGATATATTTTAAACAAGCCTATCGGCAGACTCCGTCCAGACTCCGTCTTTACTTTTTATTTGGTCTGAGCTTAAAAGATCGATTTTGTGACTTGCCGACACCTAAAAGTACTTTTCTCTTTTAGCTAGAGAGCTTCCATGGAGCTCCAAGTTTCTGGAAATTTAATGTCCTCAAGTTATATGTCGGCCCAGATGAATAGTATTTAGGTACCACTTTTGTGGATTCCAATAAAACACGCTACTACATATAAAAGAAAATGTGTTTTGAAAACTCTAAGAAGTAAACACAATATAAGTTATATTGAAGTAAACACAATATAAGTTATATTGTGTTTACTTCTTAGAGTTTTCAAAACACATTTTCTTTTAAGTTTAATAACTGTTACACTAAGTAACGTGAGTACGTTAGATTTTCATTTTCTTGTACAGGAACATTGTGTATTTCAATATGATTACACAGTGCTTTTTGCTCGATTTCTTGAATACGTTGTTCCAAGGCTCCTACACTGAGGTCCAAATTATTGTTTCGATTAGTCAGCTCCACATTTTTCTTCTGTAAATTGGTAACATTACCCTGCAATATTTCTGTATTTTTTATTAGTTCGTCCATTTTATCCGAATGATATTGTAGGGATTGTGTGATATCCCTCATTTCTTTTTTTATAGCTTTTTCTACTTGAATTGATATGTTGGCCAGTAGCTCTTTAAAGTCGATCTGTAAATCAGGTGTCTCAGTAGAATCCTCATCGTCCTCATCGTCAGGGACGATGATAGAACGGCGTCTTGGAGAGTTACTGTGACATTCATGGCAAGTCCATTCTAGGTTGTCTGATGCCCGCAGAGCAGCGAGTTGCTTATTGGATAGGCCAGTACACTGGTTATTGAGATGCACTTCTTTTTCACATCGGCTGCATACCAGACCCGGTCTAGATTTAGTGATGCCTTTACCACAATTATCACATTTGCCAACCATTGTTTTTTATGACGTGGGTACTTATAGCACAATTTAGGAACAAAATGAGTACACGTACTACGTATCGGAGCTTTCGACGACGATTGATTTTGATCATATAAACAAAGAAATAATAAAGGTTCTCTCTGAAAGTAAAGCTATAAACGCTTCCATTCCTCAGGGGAGCGTCATCGGATGTCTCCTTTTCTCATTTATATCAATGACCCCTAAAATAATAGAGGAACCGTGTGTCCTTTTTGCGGACGATATTTCTCTTCTCACATCTTGTAAAAACATCAACAACTTGCAAACCAAATTAAATTTAATAATGACCCAGACTTTTAACTGGTTAAACAAACATAACCTTAGAATAAACTTTGATAAAACTAAATTAATAACTTTTCACCCACGTCAAAAATTACCACTAAAATTCTATTACAGTTTTCAAAACAAAAATATCGAATGTGTCAATGATTTTACATTACTGGGTATAACTACAAACACTAACTTAAATTGGAAATCTCACATCCAGATATTAAAAAATAAATTATCTAGCTTTACATATGCACTTCGAGAAGTCAAAAAAACAACAGATCTAAAGACTGCTCTTATCACATATTATGCTTATGCCAATGCCTCAGACCAAATAAAAAGTAGACGGAGTCTGCCGAACAAAAAGTGAAGCCGATAAAACTACGCCTTGCGGTGTACATACACAGTTACACGCACACAAATGCAACGAAACTACGCCTTAGCTTCCCAGTCGAGCTATCCCGGCGCGCGGAGTGTGACGTAATAATAAATAACAATATTTACTAGAGAAAATGCCGATTGTGTAGTGAAAACGTGTAGAAACTAATCTTCCAAGAATAAAAAATAGGATAGAATCACATTCCATACGTAAGTAAAGTTATAAACTGATATTTTCAATTAATCAAAATCAAATTTGAAGTTGTCGCTTTGTAAACAATACCTGAACGAAATGCTGCCATGATTAAACGTTACAGTTTTACCGTTTTGTTGGGTAGGGTGAAATATAACGTAACGTTATTTTATTAAATACATTGTGTAGCATACTTTTATATTATTTGAATATTGTAATGTATGGATTGAATGAATTTTGAAATGAAATCATATAAATTTTTTGGGACGTAATACACATGTAGGAAGGCCAAATGGGAAGATCTTCCTCCGAGCTGGGTAATGTTAGCTCGGGGGCCGCGGCCCGACTGATGTTGGTCGGGTATCGTATATATGAAGAGTTAGCTTCCGAATTTCATTTGCGCGATGTAGGCTTCCATACTATTATTGATCGCAGTGCAGGTAACGCCATCTTTTGAGTATGGTGAGTAATGATTTGTTATATCCGTTGTATATCTGTGGGGCATATAGATGTCGCCGCCACACACATTATATATTATACGTTTTTTTTTTTACGATTTCCTAATCGAGATCAAAATCAAAAAGAGAAGTGGATTGCAGTCATTCGTAAGAGTAGAAATGAACCATTATGGCAACCAGCTTCCCGCAGCGTGGTTTGTTCGACTCATTTTCAGAGCGACGATTTGTACTACACAACAAAAGGGTTACGTCGTGTAAAACAAAATGCATATCCAAATGTGTATTTTTT